TGCTCCCCAAAGACAGCCCAGGCCCTAGAACTTAGAACCCCTGAGCTCCCCCACCGCGGAGGGGTCCGGGTCACGTCCCAGCCTCAGCCCCACCCCACATGTATCCATCCGAGGAGCCGGGGCCGGGGGGGCGGGCCCTGTGCTCCCTGCTCCTGGACCTGCCGTCACCGAGGGGCACAACCCATCCCAGGCCGTCCCCACTTTCCTGCCCTCTCAGTTCCACCAAATCCCAAGAGACTGTTTTCTCTACCCCACCTGCCCCCACTGCCCACCCCCACCTGCAAATGGTCCCCACCCTGTAACTTAAACTGCTGCTCTTGAACCTTTCTCCCCCAGCCCGGGTCTCGTCCACCTCCTCCCCCTGGGTGCCCCGCTTCCAGTTCAATGCTTTCCGCCACTGCAACGGGACAGGATGGAGTCTGGGCACCTGGGAGATGTGAACAGAGCGGAACCTCTGTGCAGCCCGCCTCTGTGCAGCTCTGTGCAGCGGCGGCTGCCGGGACACTTGCAGGGAGGGTTTGGGCTGTAAGGGTCTGACTGTCAGGCAGCGCCGGGCCAGCAGGGCGCCGGCCGGGGCAGCGATCCCAGGCCGGGCTCGTTTAGCGTGGATTCTTTTCTTGCTCCTTTCAGAGGGTCCTGGCTCCTGTGCGGCCCCTACCAGGAGCTGTGCCCCCTCCTGGTCGGGTGCTTGGGTCTCTGTGCCTGGAAGCTGGCTACTTCTAGCCCTTCCCTCTGGGCCAGGGCAGTGGGGCTGGACATGACCTCACCCAACCACCCTGGGGGAGGTGGCGGAAGGGGTGGTGGGGAGGGGTGGGGAAAGGCGCCCAGCAGGCCTGGACACAGTCAGCACTGCTCACCACCCCCACCCCAGGCAACTCTGAACCAAACTGCGGGCCTGGGGCCCTGCAGGAGTAACAGTGCTGGCTGTGGATCGGCACTGGGAACGCCCAGGGTCCGGGGAGTGGGGCCCGCCCTGCTCACACACCTCTGGAAACTGCACCTCTGGGAGCTGAGCCCAGTCCGGCCAGGTGGCAGTGAGTGGGCGAAAGGATATGGACAAATCCTGGAGAGAATTATGCTTTCAGTCCCCAAATATCGAGCTCCCACCCTGCATGAGGCGCCACGCTAGGCGCTGGGATGGCGCAGTTACCCAGACAGACAAGGCCTAGCACCCGGGAGCCTGCCTTCTAGGGCGTTCTAGGAGACCGAGCCGCCGCGTAGCCAAGAGACTGGTGAGGGGACAAGAAAATCCTCTAGTGCCGTGTGTGGCGAGGACCATGAAACCGGAGCTTGTCGCTCAGGCCGATGGCGGGCTCCTTGGGCCAGGGTGGTCAGGGAAAGCCTCTGAAGAGGTGACCTTTGCGTTGAGACCCGAAGGAAGCGGCAGAAAGACCCCTGGGACCCTCTGAGGGAACTGCGCTGTAGGCAGGGAACAGCCGCAGCGGTCCTGCGTGGCACGGAGTCAGGCCCACGGAGAAGGAGGAAAAGCCAGCGTGGCTGTGGCCAGGTGCCCTGAGCAGGTGGTTGGGGAGTGGGAGCGAGCAGAGCGGCCGTGGCGTAGAGGTGCAGCCTTTCTTGACTTCAGGGCCCAGGAGACAGGAGCTGTTCAGCTGTCCCTCATTCCACGGTTTCTCTCTGCCCCGTTGAGGGATTTGCACGGGTGGGGGTTGGGGAGAGGGGGAAGGGGGACCCCTCCTGGCCCCCATAACAGTGACACTGGGGGAGAGGGGGCCAGACCACAGGTGGGTGGGGGCATGTCCCTGGTGCCGGTGAGAACCCTGCCTTGCCCACGGGATCTGCGCTGTGGGGCAGAGACAGGGAGACGACAGGGAGCCAGGCGTCCAGGTAGGGATGTCCCTGAAGCCCCGATCAGATCCGATCTGTCAGGGGGTGGGGAGGCCCAGCCAGGCAGGCAGCTGCTCCTGCTCAGCCATTGGTTGCCCACAGCAGCAAGTAGCGTTTGTTCTGGAGCCAAAGCCTCCGGGCAGAATCCAGGTGCAGGGAGGGAGCGCTCAGTGCCTCTGCCCTGTGGGGCAGGTGGGCAGGAGAGCCCCGCCCCTCCCCCCCCAGCTGGGCACCAGGGAGTCCCCCTTCACTGCCCCTGCGGGGGCGGGGGGGCTGGGGAGAAGGCAGTTCAGTCCTGCCCTGCGTGTGAAGGAACCCGTGGTGGCCTGGCCCAGGGCTGGCTCTGTCTCTGGTTGACCGCCTCCGCGGCGAGGGTGCCAGGCTGGGAGGAAACACTGGAGGCCCTTGTGGCCCCCCACAGGGTGGAGGGGGCTGCCGGTCACCCTGCTTAGCTTCTCCGGGTGCTCAGAGCTGAGCTCACAGGACCGAGACCTCCGGTCCTCTTGAATTGGTGGGGCCGTCTTTCCTGCTGCAGGCTGGCAGGAGGCAGAGCTGGCGGTGGTGGCTTGGGAGCCACGGGGAACATGGCCCCAGCGATGACAGCAGCAGGGCCGGGGCGGCCTCAGCTCGGTTCCTGGCGTGCGGAGCCCTGCTCTTCTCCTCTGTGCCCACGGGGCCTGCGCGGCTCCGCCTGGGGCCACCTCTCTAGCTTAACCCAAGGGCAGTCCCTCTGGGGGCTGGGTTGGTTCCAGGTCCCCCCCCCCACCAGCCCCACTTGATCCCATTGCCTGTCAGGTCTGTGGTTCCGTTGTTGGCCCTCCCCCTTCCCTCCCTACCTCCCTGGTCCCCTTCGCTGCCCTGTTTCAGGTGGCAGGCAGGGGCTTGCTCCCGTGAACCTCACGAGGAGCTGCGTGCGGGACGCAGGGCCCCAGTGAGCCGGCAGGCCCTCGGCCGGCCAGAGAAGTTTGCCTTTCTGCTGGTTGGTTTGTGTGGCGCTGATTCTGGGGTCTGGGGTCTGGGACGGGGGTGGACCTATGGACAGACACAGTGGGGGTGCTCCTGAGAGCTGGGTCACTGGAAAGGGAGCCGGTGGAGCCCTGAAGGGAGGCCTGCGCGAGGCGGGTGGGTCACGGCCGGGTTGTGGCGGTTTCACGCCTGCGGCTGGGCAGCAGCTCTCGAAGTGCAAATAGCCCTCGTTTTCGAGGTGGGAGCCCTGGTCCCAAAGTGGGCAGGCGGGTGCCTTGTGGATTTATTTTCTCATTTCTCATTTGGATTTATCCTTTTTTTTTTTTTTTTTTTACTAACGGGGAAACCAAGGCACGGAGATCCTAAGTGGCTTACCCAAACTACCTGGCCCGCTGGATTGACACTCCTGGCTGTTCCCCAACCAGGGCCCCCCTTGAATGGACCCAGGATCCTGGGGTCTTCCTGCGGGTGTGTCCTGGAAGGGACCTTCCATGCTGTAGCCCCAGAGTCAGGGGCCAGCCTGCTGTGGTCTTGAGGGGAAGTTTGTGGAGTCGGGCCTTGCTTCCGGGGCAAGGCAGCCCCTGGGGCAGGTGGTGGAGACAGCTGGGAAAACGAGCCCATCTCTGGCTGCCAGAGCCCAGGTGTGGCAGGGCTGTTGGGGGCCAGTGCCAGCGAGGGGGCCCCAGACCAGACTTTGCAGGAGGAAAGCAGACCACTTGGGTGTGCCACGGGGCGGGGGGCTTGGATCCCAGGGGGCTGGGATTGAGGGGGGAAAGGGGCAGGGAGACGGCTGAGGGGCTGCTGCAGAGGCTGTCAGGGCACCCGTCGGGCAGGGGAGCATGACCATCTTCGCCCCCCTCGTCTGCGTGTGCCCACTGGGCTGGTCCCATCTGTTTCCCTGTCAGGGACTCACAGACAGGCCTCCAGGAGACTGACGAGGGCCCAGCTGTGGGTAGACCCGGCAGCGCGCCTGCCCCAGGTTCTGCTCTGGCAGCGCTGGTGCCCCGCTGACCCCAGAAATGCTGCTCACTCCCACCCAGCGACCCTGGGGACACGGGGGGGCCTGCCGCTGGCGCAGCCCTGTCCCGAGCCTGGACAGAGGAAAGGGCTTAGGTGGTGGCAAGCAGCCAGAGGTGCCCCTGCGACATTCCACCCCCAGGCCTGCGTCCATCCCCTGCTCAGAAACTTGTCCCTGGCTGTCTGTGTGACGCGTGGGACCTTAGCCATGCTGCCGAGCCTTTCTGGGCAGCCTTATTTTTCCATCTGTAAAATGGGTGCTGAACTGGGTCGTCACTGAGACCCTGACCTGCCCCCCCAGATCTGAGTCTTCGTTATCTGACTGTGGGCGGCCCTTGTTGGCACTCACACTTCCCGCCCCATGTTAACTTCCCCTTGGCATCCCTCCTGCCGTCTCGCTGTGCCCTCTGCCCCAGGCCCAGGTGACTGCTAGTTCTCCCTGTAATCGAGTCTTGCCGCCCTCAGGGCGTGGGGTCACCGTACACAGGGCCTGGCCCAGGGCCTCCCCAGCACCAGGGCCAGGGCGAGGCATCAGCTCCTACGGGGCCACCTCCGGCCAGCCCACACATTCCTCAGTCTTATCTGGGGGCCCGCCCCGCTGGACTCTGCCCTCCCACCCAGGAAGCAACACCACCCAGAGGAGCTGCTAAAGAGTTCCAGGAGCCTGGAGCAGGGCCCCAGTGGGCTGGAGGTGACATTCTCAGCTTCCTGCCTGGGGCTGCAGAGAACCAGCGTAGGATGGGGTGGGTAGCGGGATTGGGGGCTGGGGGCGGGGCGGCGGCTGCTGAGACTGACAAAGGGAACTGTTCCTAACCTCTGTGCCATCCTCCTGGGGACCCCTCTGTCTCTGGGAGGCTTCCGCGGGGCTCCTGCGCACGGAGGGGGCCAGGTGCCCTACGTCTGCCCCAAAGTTGAGGCAGGAGGTCAGGCCGGACAGCAGCTCCCGAGCCACCTCTCCCTCTTCCCTTACCTCCGCCTCGGTGCCAGCGCCCATCCTCCCAGGAAGGGGTTAACCGCCAGCCCCAGCCGTGAGGGAGGGGACTGGGCTGGACCATTTTCCTCGCGGCTGCCTCCACCTCGGTTTTCCTGAATGGTTCTGGCGTCCAGGGGTGGGGAGGGAAGGGAAGGAAGAAGGGCGGGAGGAGGGGGAGGAGGGGAGGGAGGAGTGTGGGAAGAGGAAGGAAAAAAGAGCGAGACAGCCAGGGAAGAGAAAGATGTCACTGTCTCATCTCCCTGTCATTTTCATTTCCAGCAGGCGCCGGGCGAAGGAGCTGCTAGAACAATGCTGAGGCGGGCGAGGTGAGCAGCGGCCGGCTCTGCCTCTGCGCGGAAGCCCCGCAGGAGGATCTCGAACAGGTGATCTGAGGAGCCCGAAACTGAGGCCACCTGGGCGTCCCCCGCCTCGCCTCGGCCAGGCCCTGAGCCCAAGAAAAGGTGGGGAAACCATGGCGACCAATTTCAGCGACATCGTCAAGCAAGGCTACGTGAGGATGAAGAGCAGGAAGCTTGGGGTGAGCCACCCTCCCGGGGCACTGCCGGGGGCCGGGCGCCGGGGACTTGGTCTGGAACCCGGCAGGTCGGGGTGCGCGCTCAGCGCCACCGTGCATTTGTGGTCGCCAGGCCCCTGGCCGGCGGGCTGCCTGGCGTGTGCCTGGGCCCGGCCCTGTCTGCTGCAGCCCCCGCCCCAGCAGGACTGGCGGGCATTCCGGCGGCTGGGCCGGCGGTGGCAGCCCAGGCTCCTTGGCTATTGTTGAAGTTGTCACCAGGGCAGCGGCAGGGGCCAGGAGCGGGGAGCGGAGACCCCCTTCTCGCTTCCCCTCTGCTCCTCCTTGTGCTCCTCTCCACGTCTCTCCCCTCCACTCCCCCCTCCCCCGGCCTCTTCTCTTTGAAGTGCCTTATCGACCCCCGCTTCCCATTGCGTTCTGCGTACAGGTATTTATTTCTCTTCGGGTGTCGCTTTTCCCGTGAAGGAAGTGTTTGAAAAGGAGAGTGGCTGGTTGTGGGGGCGCGTGCTGGCGGGAGGGGTGCAGCGGCCGACGTGTCTGTGGTTTATGAATGAGAACTTGGGGCCCTGGCTCCGAGGTGCTCCCCACTGCGCTGGGTGCTGGGCCTGGAGCTGGGGCTTGGAGATGAAGCCTCAGGCACACCTGGGTGGGCACCCTCTCCCACCCCCTGCTGGTGAAGACCCCTCACGAGGCATAAGCAGGGACCCCGGGGACCGGCTTAAAGATCTTGGTAGAATTGTCCAGGAGCTGGCTGCCCCTGTCCCTCTGCCGACCCTCCCCACCTCCGCTGAGGGACCTGGTGGCTGTCCCCTCCCAGCAGGAAGGAAAGAAACCCTGGTGACTGAGGTGGCCCAAGTCTAGTGTTTTACCCCGGTCCCTGGTCCCTCCCCTCGTCCCTCCCCCATGGCCTTGATGGGGTCTGGGTGGGATCAGACTGCTCAAGGCTTGCTGGCTGTGCCTGAGGGGGGTGGGGGAGGAGCAGGGCTCCATACCAGCTCCCTGGCCTGGGTGCCGCCTGCATGCAGGACAGACGGAGCAGCGCTGGCCTTGGAGAGGGGTGCCCCTCCTGCCTGAGGGCCCCGTGGGGGTGGGCATGTTTGCAGCCTCATCTGAGTGTGGATCTGTGTCCTGACCTGGGCCCCAGCCCAGGAGACTGGGCTCTGGTGGCCATTAGCCACTCTGCTTTTACCCTGAGGGAGCAGAGAGAGGCTGAGCCGCGGTGGGGGCCAAGTGGGGGGCCCAGCTCCTCATGTGGCTCCTCATCCCCCTGGGCTCCGGCCTGGCAGGTCCCCAGGGGCCAGCTGGGCTGAGGCCCTGCCCAGGACGAAGCTTACCTGGAAGGCAAGCCACCTGGGGCAGCCACTGGGCCCAGTCTGAGGCCTGTCCTGGCAGACGGGGAACCTCCAAGGTGGACACGGCCAAGGGAAGGGGCGTGGGGAGCCGGGCACATGGCCAGGCCCAGTCTGAGGTTCCCCCTACCCCACAACTCAGGGAAGTCAGCTTCCCCAGTCAGACCTGATTCCAGGGACTGTGGTCGCCGCCAGGACAGCCATTACGTCTCACCCACAGGGCAGAGAGGGAGGGGCCGGAGGGATCAGGAGCCCACCCCCAACCTGCCAGGGCCTTCCTCCCAGGCAGAGCCTGGCAGGTCTCTGAAGGAGCAATCAAAGCCAGACCTGTGAGAAGGGGGTAAGGAGAGCCCTCCACGCAGGGGCTCCCTGGGGCTCTGTGAGTGTGTGTATCCCTGTAACCAGGCAACCCCGGTGCTTGGGCCCCAGGCCTCTTGCCCCTGACGCAGCAGCAGCAGCGTGGAGCCCTACCTGGCAGGGCATATCTGGGGCACTCATCCATCCATCCATTCATTCACGGTCTGTCATCTGGTCATTCAGAGCTCTGTTAACGAGGCTCCCAGGATGTGAGTGGGGATTCTGAGAATAAAACACCGTGTTTGCCCTTAAAGGAGCTCCTGGCTGAGAGCTGAGGCCTGCTGCCGTTTAGGTCGATAGGCCGGGGCTGAGCCAGGCCCTCCAGGCCCCCTGCACCCTGGGACTCTGCCTGCCCAGGACCTGAGCCTACAGAGCAGACCAGGGTTGGGAGGGGGTGGGGCTATGGCCCAGAAGCCCCCTTGCCACCTCTGCTCTGGGCCACCCCTTGGTGTCCCCAGTGTTTGCCAGTGTGAGGAATATCAGAGATTTCTGCAGGTTGGGGGTCTGCAGGCCCTGGAGTGCCCACTGAGAGGGGCGGTGCGTGCCAGCCAGGCTCAGGGCTGGGTGAGAGCCTGAGACGGGGGTGGGGGGGCATGGAAGGAAGAGTCTGTAGCCTGGCCAGGGAGCCAGGGCCCCCCCTCAAGTTGTCTGACCCACCAGTTTGCCCCTGGAGCCCTAGGGAATGATCTGCTCCCTCCCTGGCACTTTGACCCTTGGGAGGAGTCCCAGGAGCGGTAGCGGGTTTGGGTGGTGTTGGGCACAGGGTCACTGGCAGTGGCTGGACAAGGAGGGAACCTGGCCAGGGAAGGCACTGTGCTCTGGTGTGACCCCAGGTTCTTGGTGCCAGTTTCCCAAATGGAACAGGCAACTCACCCCGGCCTCCTGCACCCCAGGGTGGTGGGAGAATGACAGGAGGGTGAGGGAAGTGCTGGAGTCAGGAGCCCAGCCCGGCTCCAGGGCCCAGGCTGTGGTGCTGTGTGGGAGGGGGGAGTGGAGAAGGGTCTGACCCCTGTCCCCAGGACGCTCTCTCTGTGCGGCTGGTGCTGCTGGAGCCCTGGGCGGGACTCGGTGAGCAGGGGGCTCCGAGGTGTGGCTCTGGGTCCAGACAGCCTGTTTGGGAGACTAACTCAACCGTTTACTAGCTGTTACGTCACCGCTCGGTGCCTCAGCTTCCTTGTCTATAAAGTGGACAGAACAGAACCGACCTCGAGTGACCCCAGGTCACCCATGTGGAGCCCTGATACCAAAAAGGACACATACGGGGCCCCTGGTCAGTGCTGGCTGCTTACATCACAGTGGAGCGACGTGGGGGTTAGGGGTGCTGAGCCCCCTTTCCCTCGAAGTAGAAAGCCTTGACTCCTCGGTTGTCCCTCGGTACCCGCAGGAGGTTGGTTCTAGGGCCCCGCAGATACTCAAGTGCGCCGGTGCTCAAGTCCCTTCCATAAAATGGCATAAGAACAATGCAGGCAGCAGGCCCTCCACATCCACAGATGCCCACCCACAGACAAAAACCCCCGCGGAGCCCTGGCCGGTGGGGCTCAGTTGGTTGGAGCATCGTCCTCATCAACCAAGAGGTCGCCGGTTCGATACCCTGGCAGGGCACATGCCTGGTTGTGGGTTTGGTTCTGATCCATGTTTCTCTTTCACATTGATGTTTCTCTTCCTCCCCCTCCCTCCCTTCCTCTCTAAATTCAATAAGCATGTCCTTGGGTGAGGATGGGGGAAAAAATTCTGTGAAACCCAGGATACAGAAGGTGGGCTGTATATTTATTGGAAAAAAACCCCCAAACCCCTGTATAAGTGGACCCCATGGTTCAAACCTGTGTAGTTCAAGGGTCAACTGTACACTCAGAGCTGAGCTCGCTGTAACTGGAGCTCACCCTCTGTGGAACAGCAGCCTTCCAGAGCCAGCCAAGAAGTGAGTTTGGGGAGGAGAACTCCCCCAGGGTTTGCCAGGTTTTCCCCTGGGCTGGGGCCTCCTGGCGAGGCTGTGTGGTGCTGCCCCCTGCGGTAAGCAGGGGTAACTGCAGGGCCCTGTTGGGTGGCTGGCAGGCCAGGGAAGCCTGATCCCCTTGCCCTCTTGCCCCACAGATCTACCGCCGGTGCTGGCTGGTGTTCCGGAAATCCTCCAGCAAGGGGCCCCAGCGGCTGGAGAAGTACCCGGATGAGAAGTCAGTGTGCCTCCGAGGCTGCCCCAAGGTTAGGGGGCCTGGGCCCTAGCTCCCCTGACCTGTGAGCAGAGCGGAGTCCTGGGGTCCAAGAGCGCCCTCTGGGGGTGGTGAGCTGTGCAGAGGGAGGTGCTGTAACCCGGCTGAGTCCCGTGTGGATGCTGTCCCAGGTGACTGAGATCAGCAACGTGAAGTGTGTCACGCGGCTCCCCAAGGAGACCAAGAGGCAGGCGGTGGCCATCATATTCACTGATGACTCAGCCCGTACCTTCACCTGCGACTCAGGTGAGCCCCAGGGGCTGCAGACTTCCACCCGGCACCCCTGGGCCAGTTGGGGTTTGGCGGGCCAGGGGGAAGGCAGAGCAGGGCAGTCCCGGCTGGGAGGATGGCTGGGGGTGCCTCTGGCCAGGCAGGCAGCAGGATGAGGCGGGGCCGACAGGCGGGATTCGCTGGCCCCGCCCTCCCCGCCTGGCTTGGTGGGGCAGCTCAGGCTGAGCAGATCGAGGCGGTGGGCTGCAGGGGCCCTGTGCTGGCACGGGACGAGGTGCTGTCCTCTCCAGAGCTGGAGGCGGAGGAGTGGTACAAGACCCTGTCTGTGGAGTGCCTGGGCTCCAGGCTCAACGACATCAGTCTGGGGGAGCCGGACCTCCTGGCCCCGGGGGTGCAGTGCGAGCAGACAGGTGAGGCCTGGCACTGGGAGAGGGTGGGGAGGGGGCCCGAGGCCTCTCCACAGGAAGCTCCAGGCCGGCTCCTCCGTCCCCACCCCCTGCAGATCGCTTCAACGTCTTCCTGTTGCCCTGCCCCAACCTGGACGTGTACGGCGAGTGCAAGCTGCAGATCACCCACGAGAACATCTACCTCTGGGACATACACAACCCCCGCGTGAAGCTCGTCTCGTGGCCCCTCTGCTCACTGCGCCGCTATGGCAGGGACGCCACACGCTTCACCTTTGAGGCGGGCCGGTAGGACCCTCCCCCCCCCTCCCACCCCAACACGGCCATGGTGGTGGCTGCCACTCACCTGCACCAGGCACTGTGCTGACGCTTAAGGCATCCATCAGCGTTGCAACCCGAAAGGGAACAGTGTTCCCACTTTACAGATGAGGAAATGGAGGCTGACGGCAGGCAGGGCGGGGAGGGGCTTACTGCGATCAGATGCTTGGCCTCGCATCGCATGCAGGCCCTGGCACGGACCGGCTCTGGGGCCGTGGGCCAGCCAGGGCCTGTTCTCATCTGTCACAGAGGGGATGAGAAAAACACCTAACCTCACGGGGTCGTGGGGAGGGGTAGGTACCTGCAGCATGAGCTCAGGAGCCAGCTGGCCTAGACTCGAGTTCTGGGTGATCCCCCTTGTAACCTTGGTGAGGTGACTTACACCTTCTGCATGCCTGTTTCCTCACTGTCACGTGGTCTGAGATACCCCCACTAATGAGGAAACTAACAGTGCAGGGACCGGAGAGGGTGGTGGAGAGAACTGAATGGTCCAATTCCTGTGGATCGCTCCCTGGCCCATGGAAAATGCTGCCAGTCCGCTCACACTGCGTGTGGTCAGACCCCAGGCAGCAGCCCTGCCGGCTTCCCAGAGGGCCCAGGGTACAGGACAGTCCCATCAGGTGCGTGCATGTGTGGGGTGGAGTGCCCACCACCTTGCTACTTGTGTCCCCAGGATGTGCGATGCTGGCGAAGGGCTCTACACCTTCCAGACGCAGGAGGGGGAGCAGATTTACCAGAGGGTCCACAGTGCCACCCTGGCCATCGCTGAGCAGCACAAGCGGGTGCTGCTGGAAATGGAGAAGAACGTGAGGGTGAGGCAGTGGGCGTCTCGGGCCCGGGGTCCAGGGGAGGCTGATGGGCAGGCAGAGTGCCTGCAGCGCGCCAGGTGCAGTGTGCACAGGTAGAGGCGGCAGGCAGGGTCTGGGGCTGGGCTGCCCTGGGTAAGCCACGCCCCCAGGGCTGATGGGAGGGACCCTCCTCTGGCCCACAGCTGCTGAACAAGGGCACGGAACACTACTCCTACCCCTGCACGCCCACTACCATGCTGCCCCGCAGCGCCTACTGGCACCACATCACCGGCTCCCAGAACATCGCCGAGGCCTCCAGCTACACCAGTGAGTCCGTCCCTGCAGTGCCCACAGCCACCTGCCGCGCTGCTGTGGGAGACGGGGCCTTCTGGGTGGGGGTCTTTCCCCCTGGACTGGAGTCCCGAGCCTGCCCGTGTGTCCACAGGTGAGGCGTGTGGGGCAGCCCAGGCCAGCTCAGAAACGGACCTCCTCAACAGATTCATCCTGCTAAAGCCAAAGCCCAGCCAGGGGGACGGCAGCGAGGCCAAGACGCCAGCCCAGTGACAGGAGGGCTGGTGTGCACGGACGATGACTGAGGCTGCCCAGCTGCAGGGCCGACCGCAGCGTGCTGAGGGCGGCCTCAGGGGCTGCTGGCCAAGAGCCTGGAGAAGGGGAGCCCGCTGTCCCTTCCTTGCCCCCGTGGGTGAGGCCGGACCAAGGCCAAGGGCTGGCCACACCACCTGAGCATGTGAGGGGCTGGAGCTACCATGGGACTATATACTGTTAATGATTTTAATATATATGGCTTATGACATATTCTATATTAATGAGATTCCCCCGTCCCTCCCTGCCACCCCAGTTTTTAATCCCATGACCAGGCCAGTCGAGGCTGGTTTTGGATGTCCTTGGTGGCACAGCCCTCCCGCTGCCAGGACTTGTGTGAACTGCCCGGGCCGGAGGGAGGCGGTCAGAACTCTGGGCCGGCTTTGCCCGGGCCGCCCAAGGGCTAAGGTGGCAGGCAGCTTCCTGGGTCCTCCGGGGCCAGAGTGGCCCGAGGAGGTGCCACTTGATGACATCTGGTTGACACCTCAGGTGGAAGTCTGGCTTGAAGATGTCTGCCCAGGCCCCTTCCTGTTTTGGAGGCCGAGAAGCTTGCCCTGTGGGGGTGAGTGCCGAGACCTCAGCCAGGGGAGGGGGCCGGCTCCCAGCTCTGCCCTGCCCCCGGGCCAGGCCAGGAGGGAAGGCCGCGGCAGGCCTGCTGTGGGGAGCTCCCCTGCTGCCCCCCCTCACTGACCCGGGGCGGGCAGTGCCCCGGCACAGGCGCCCCGCCCCGCATCTGGCCGCCCTCTGGCCAGAAAGCACTCAGAAACCAGCCCTTCCTCGCCCCCCCTCCCCACATGGTGCTGAGGCTCCCTGCTGAAATGCAATTAAAGCAATTGATTTTCTAGTGCTGGTATTTACTGACTACTGGGCAGAAGGGCTATCTTTCTATCCACATCGAACCTATGGTTGCGTGTATGGTTTGTTTTTTTTAAATAAATACTTTAGGGTTCTGATTTGTGGAAACAGACCTTGTTACCTTGATGTAAATAACCACTACCCGAGTTGTGGCAGGAGGACGACGAAGCACTGGCTCCCGCAGCAGAACCCTGGAGCCGGGAGGGGCCGCGGCCAGCCCCGCCCACCCTGAAGCTGCCCCGGGGGGAGGACCTCCGGGAGGAACACGCCAGCCCGAAGGGAGCCTGGGCCAAGGCCTCGGGGAGGCAGGCAGAGCTGGCTGGCTCAGCTAGTGGCACGATGACGCATGAAGGAGATTATGTTGTGCTCTTTATTGCCAAAAATAAAAACTCTACTGTTAATAAATATCACTTCCTTTCTGGACTGTATTGCCGTCATCTCCAGACCCCTCCCCGCAGACTGCCTAGTTGACTGCCTTGGTCTCCTCCCTACAGGACACAGACCCTCACACTCCCCCTCCCATCTACCCCAAACTAAACAGTCGGACCGCTGGCAGTGAAGTCCTAACTCAGGAGCAGAGAGTGAAACACAGGGTTTATTTGGGGGCGGGGTGGGGGGCAACCAGGGTCTAACACTGTTCTCAAGTTAGGACACTCGGGAACCTGAGTGACGTGTCAGCAGGAGGGCCCTGGGTTTGCAGGCAGCCTGAAGGAGCGTTCGCGCACTCACCCCTAACACCAGAAACCTAAGGTACGACTGTGAAAATGCCAACGTTTGGACAAAAACCAAACCTGAAATGACCAGAGGAGGAGGGTCCAGCTCAGTGGTTTTCAACAGGGAAGCAGTGCGACCCCTACAGGCCGGTTCGGCACCGGGGGAGAGGGTCTGGGCTCCGGGCAGAGGACAGGCAATCAGCAAGCAGGGAGGGCCAGGGATGCTGAGTGTCCGAGAAGAGACTGCCCTGCCCCGGATACCAGCGTCACCCCGGCGGTCTCTCTCTGACCAAGCGAGGCTGGGACGGGCCTGCCTTCCCCACCGTGACCTCTGGCGGGTACCGATGGCTGCCAAGGAACGTAAGTGACCGCTGCCCAGACCTGGAAGTGAGGCATCTATGGACAGACCTGCGACGCAGCCCAGATCCCTCCGTGCCGGAGCAGGCGAGTCGCAGCTAGTTTATGGTTAGGACGTCACTCTGGATCTCGTGGCTCAGCTGGGTCTGTAAGTCACTCAGCTTCTTCTTCAGTCCAGAGAGGGCGGAGAGCACGATGGTTTCAGGGCGCAGGGAGCCGCAGGACTCCACGTTGTAGTAAAACCTGAGGGGCGAGGGGCCGGTGAGAAGCCTCCCCAAGGGGCAGGCCGCCCCGCCCCGCCCTCCCTGTGGCGTCTGACTCCCTCCCACCTGACCTCCACCCACCCCGGGGTGACGTCCCTCCGACGCTACTGCCATCTCAAAACCAGCCCCCAGGTCACTCCAGTCAGTGAAACCCCCAAACACTTCTGTGCGGCTGTATCCCACACTGAGAAAGGGGAAAACACACAGGCAGGGTCGCAGGCGCGGCATCTCCATGGTCATCAGTAGAAGACGAGTCAGTGTCTGGCCCCAGGTCCACCCCTTCTTGGGAGGTTGAAACCCAGAATCCGGAGGGCTTGGATACCTGGAGGCCCCCCTTCCCCACGGTGACTGAAGTGGAATGTGCACACAGTGAGTTCGGTGGTCCTCAGCCCTGCTCAGCCCACGGGAGGGGGGCGCGGGGACAGTGTCTCCCCAACCCAGAGCCTGCACCCAAGCGGCACGCTCTCGCACACTCCCCCTTCCCGAGCCAGGCGGTCTCTTACCTCTCGGGCTTGCCGTTGGGGTCATAGGGCGCCTGTGACTCATCCTCATCCAGCTCTGAGTACTCGCTCTTTGGCCTGGGGTCAAGCACAGGGCAGCACAGGGTCACTACTGCTGTTTCCAGGGTCCCTGTGCCCACAGCGGGGATGCCCACCCACCTACCCAACCCACCCACCCCAGCTGCCTGCCTCCACCATACTCCAGCCGGGACCCACCATTCCTCTGGCTTGGGGTACACCGTGTGCCTCAGGGCATTGTCGGGGTCATATTCGAAAGCCACCCCTGCGGTCGGGTTCCACTTCGCGTGCTCCTTGCCAAAGCCCTTTTTGGCGTAGGCGCGCAGCCTCAGCTCCTGGCCCTTCCGCAGCTTGACGATGAGGATGTCTGCGGGGAGGGGTGGGAGTCGGTCACCGGCCAGGAGAGGCGCGGCACCCCCAGCTCTGACCCGAGAGCCACCGGAAGGCCCCAGACACCCGGGAAAGCGGACCGGAGGCCAGCGGAGGAGGGGACCGGGCGGCACGAGAGCCTGGTCAGGTCGCCGCCTCCCCGGTGGCCCACGAAGCGTTGGCTCGGGCAGACCCCACACACGCGCTGCAGCCCCTCACCGTCCTGCTCCATATAATCGTTGGGGTCGTTGTCTCGGTTCCGGGATGTCACCTGGAGGGGCCCAAACACAGACCTCCATTAGCTGTCCATCACCCAGGCACCACTTCTGGAAACGACTTTCCAGGACTTCCGGTCACAACCTGTCGAACTGGGGACAGGGTGCCGGGAACGAGGTGGCGGAAGTGCCTACTAGGACCCGGTCTGTGCCGGTGATTCTCCCACCCCCGCTTAGCGGCTCTGTGACCGCCTGCTCAGCCCAAACAGGACTCAGCCTCTCACAAGGGTCCCGGGGTGAGAGGGGGCACGGGGAACCAGTACGGCGTCCGCCCTGCCCTGCAGGGCGCAGAACCAGCACTGCCAGGCCCCAGAGGGCAGCCGGGGAGAGGCGGCGTCTTGTCAGAGTCCACCCCGTCCGGCCCACTTGCAGGCAGGGGAGCTGTCCGGAGACACTGACCGGGATGACCCGGGGGCTGTTGGAGATGAGGTCTCGAGACGTGACGTGACGAGTCTGGTCTTCGTTGCACCGCACGTCCAGAGTGAACTCCACCGAGCATTCGGGGCAGAACTCCTCGCACGTGCAGTCCTGCGGCCGGGAGACAAGCAGCAGCGAGTCTGTGGGGAGCCGGCGGACCCCGAGCTCCCGGTTCCTCCCGCTGCCTCTCGTGCGCAAGGGCCGGCCGGCCTCTGGGCTCTCCCTGTGGGGAGCTGTGTCGCCCTGGCAGCCTCCTCAGAGGCAGGCACTTCCCAGTCTAGGGACAACACAGGCGTGCCGACACCCACGCTTCCCTGCACACGCGTCTCAGCCTGGCCCTGGGAGTGCTCCTCCCCACAGCACCACCGTGATGCTCAGCTCGGCCTCCCGCAGGCTAAGTGGACGGGCTCGGGAAATGTAATCACCACTTAAGACAAAACAAAGGGAACTGTAGAAATAGTACTGTTCAAGTTCTAAGCTACTGACCTTCTCTTAAAAAAAAAAAAAATTCTAGGCCCTGGCTGGTGTGGCTCAGTGGATTGGGTGCAGGCCTGTGAACCAAAGGGTCGCTGGTTCGATTCCCAGTCAGGGCACATGTCTGGGTTGTGGGCTGGGTTCCCCAGTAGGGGGCATGTGAGAGGCAACCACACATTGATGTTTCTCTCCACCACCCCCTTCCCCTCTAAAAATAAACAAATAAACTTAAAAAAGTTTCTATTACGAAAAACTGCATAAATTCACAAAAACCAAAAAGTGTGAGAGACCATTCCTCAGCTTCAACAGTTGCCCCCAGTTTGCTGCTCTTAAAACACCCCAGTCCCCAGTAAGAAGCTACCACAATGTAGTCAAGCAAACTGCTCTCCCTTCACACCGGCGAGGGAAATGCACCTGGTGCGCCTGTGGGGTGAGCCACAAACCCAGCAGGGGCCAGCACCCCAGTCCCTCGGGCGCTGGTCCAGGGACAGGTCTCACCCCTGTCCTGTCCTCCCCGCCCCCAACCTTCCGGGGACTCCCTGCAGCGTCCCAGGCCCCCGCCACCAGGAAGAGACGCTCTGAAAAGCAGAGCCTGAACAGACCAGGCTCTGAGGACGGGCAGCCCCCGGCTGGCGTGAACAGGCACGTCATGGGCTGACCTGACTCCCCGATGCCCGTGAAACTGACCGCTCGGAGGCCCCTCAGAACTGAGGACAGTGCGGGCCCCAGGCCTGGATACTATCTCCATACTGTCTCCCTAAGGGCTGGAAGCAGGGGAGGAGAACACCCCTAAAAACTGAAGGCCCCGCCTCCCCCGCCCCACAGCCCACCCGGCGCCCAGCCTACCCGGGAATACTGCAGCTTGTCCACGATGTCATCGCTGGTGAGGGGGATTAATCCTGGAAGACAGAAAAGCACTCTGAAGAAGGCCCAGCGGCCAGGCCAACCTGGAAGTCCCCTTGGGAGTGAGGAGGGTTGCTCTCTGACCCTTTCGCCTTCCCAAACCCGGCACTCACCAAGCCTGTGAGCGATGAACTCGTCGTGAAGCACTGAGGAGTTGGCGTCGATCTGAACCCAGTCGATGGCTAAAAAGCGAAGGAAGCAGACACGCAGCTGAGCCACCGGGTTCTCCGGAAGACTGGGAGCAGTGGCTCTCCAGGGTCGGGAGCCACCCGAGGTTCCTGGCCCTCGGGGCCCGGCCAGGCGGCCTGCCTCTGACTCCCACAGCTCTAGGCTGGAGCCCAGGGACCCGAGTTTGAGCGAGAACTACACTCCCACCCCCAGGAGGGTTTCATGCTGGGGGTTCCCTGTACAGACGAAAACAGCGCCTTATTTAACTCTATCATCACTCAATCAACCAACGTTTATGGCACACCTTTAACGGGCAAGGCGTACTACGTATAAAATCCAATCCCTTCCAGCAGTGAGCTATTAGGAGGGGAAGAACCACACGCTCGCATACACCTGACTTAAACACATACTCACTCACTCACTCACTCACTCATTCGTTCACACCTTCATGTAAACAAACAGCATTGGAGCCCATCTGCCAAATGTGGGGTGTGGACGCTAGGAACAGCCCAGAGAAGGACCAGACAGAGCAAGGCCCCAGACTGCTTTGCTCCATGCCTCTTACTGCCTCCCCGACCCACATCAAATAAGGACCGAGAGCCAACCTTCTCTGTCTCTGCATCTCTCCGCCCCTGCCACCCGCCCTGGCATGCCCTTACGCCCCCTGACACAGGCTACAACCCTCTGAGCACCCATGACACGGGCACAGCTCCTCCCTACAAAATCTGCCCAGACTTCTCTTTAGACACTCGCCACACTGCGCCTTGTGTTACGTTTGTGTGTGTGTCTTGTCTCTCCCTCAAGCTCTGAAAGCTCCTGGGGCAGGGTCTTCAGGGGTTTTAACTTTCGCATCCCCAGCTGTGGCCTGGAGAGTAGCAGGCTCTCAATTATTTGCAGAACTGAATTTGTGGAAAAGGTAACATTTCGATTTGGAATGTTAGGGCTGCATGGTCAAGTGCAACTCCCTCACTGTACTCTTGAAGCAGAGGCCCAGAGGCACGGAGTGGTTAGGCCAAGGGAGGTCCAGCAGGCCAGGCTCTGAGCTGCAGTGACGCGGGGGACGAGGTGGCTAGACCACCGCGTCCTCCCGTGCACGGACCACTGGCCTGCTTAGTTCCCCTGGAGTTTGTGTGCCATGCAGCAGCTCTGACGTTTCTTTTTCCTGACCCAAACCCTCTAAGTGGACCCTCAGAAAACACCTGCAGAATGTTTGTAAATGTGCAAAATACCTGGCGTGGTACAGCCGGAACCAGAGCCAGCCAGAACCGCCCCCCCCCCAAGCAACAGCAGCACCGGGCTCTGCCTCTCCAGCACGGCTGGTCCAGGGCTACCTTGCACGAGCATTGCCTGTGGACGCACCTCTGCCCTGCAGCTCCGCTGTGGGCTCCAGGGGGTGAGAACCCTGTACTGCACAGCTCTGCATTCCCAGTGCCCAGCCACTGCCTGGCTCTGAAGATGCTCCGTAAGTGCACTTGAAGAAACACTCATAAAAAGACATCTGCAGGGCCTGAACACTCCCTAGACGCCAGGCACCTAAAGGTGATGACCTCCCTTAATCCTTCTTATCACCCTCGTGAATACTACCGGTGTCCCGACGTTCCCGAGGAAACTACAGCCCACAGTTCAAAAGCTTGCCCAAGTTTCACAGACACAAGAAGTAAAAGCAGGCCTGGAACCCAAGTTCGCAGACTCCCGCACCCACGCTCTTCACCAATGCAAACGTAAGAGCGGGCCTGAGTGGCCGGTGGGAGCCAGGGCGGTGGCCAGAAGCGGCCCTGGTGTCGTCTCTGCGCCCTCACCCCTCGCCCAAACCAAAGCCTGGAGGCAGAAGCGCCAGGTGAGTGTGGTCGGGGGGGGGGGCGGGGCGGGGGTGAGTCTAGGAAGGTACTGGTAGCTTGGCAACGAGAAGGCGGGGGTCGCTTACCTATTATGGGCACCTCAGCGATGAAGACTCTCCGAATAGAGTTGGCCACCCTGGGGGATGAAAACCGAACGGCGTGAGGGCCCCGCAGCCTCGACATGCCGGTCCCGAGCCTCCCGGTTCCCTGAGTGAAAGCCACGACACGGGGCCCAGCAGACACGACCCCATCCCCCCGCCCCGGCCCCCGGGGCTCGAGCCACCAGCCGCTTCCTTCAGTAGCCTTACGCTAGGTCCGTATTCTCGATGATGAATTTGACATTCTCGTCGGTAAGCTCCGTGATTCGGACGGTGGGCTGGTTGGCGTAGGGCATTGCGAACCGCCTCCCGGCCGGACTCCGGCGTCTGCCCCGCTGCGCACCGCGGCACCAGAAGTTACCGGAAGTCGGTCAGCTTGGTCCCCGCCGCCTCCTCGAAGGCGCGCCCCACAGCGCCACCTGCTGCTCGGAGGCCGGGACTGCTCCGGGTCCGCCGTTCCCACCCGCCGCCTGATTTAAAAGCACCCGATCCAAGCACTGGATGACGATTTTGAAAAATATGCACACACACTTGACTCAGCAATAGCATTCCCACGAATTCATACTGCAGAAATACTTAATTAAGTTGTGAGCGGATACATTTACAGGGAAGATCACTGCAACAGTTTGTAATATCAAAAAATAACCTAAAGTGCTCTGGCCAGGTAGCTCCGTTGGTTCCAGTGTCATCCAAATAACACGTCAAGGATGAGGGCACATGCAGGAAGGAACCAACGAATGCGTAAATAAGTGGATCAATGAATCGATGTTTCTCTCTCCCCTCCCTGTAAAAATCAGTAAGTAATAATTTAAAAAATAAAAATTGTCCATCGAGAGACCGGGGTGAAATATACCAACATAAGAAAACTATCATTTTTTTTAAAAAGAATGAAATTTGTACATTTATAGGAAAAGGAAAGTATACTGTGGCAAAGTATACTCGAACAGTAGGTATGTGCCCTTTCCCTCCCACCCTCGAGCCTGGGTCATGTATTTTCCAGCCTGCAGGAACTGCGCAGCTGCAGTGGGTGGGAGGGGGAGTGGCTCTTCAGCTCTGCACCCCCAGTGCCTGCCAGTGTGCGTCTCACTGGGTGAACGTGCAATAAATGAATGACCAGAGTCCCCTCAGCAGCGCGGAGAGGGTTCAATGGGCCTCAGAAAGGTGGGTGGCAGCTGCTCCCATGGAGAAAAGAGGCCCTACATTAGAACTCGGAGGGAAGGGGCTAGACTTCGTGGGCCAGAGAAGACTAATCAGAAGAGATGAAGAGTTTACTTTAGCAAGGAGTGACATCTGAGAGAGGGAGGAAGGCCATTGAGAGAGAATAGGATGCTGGGAAGGATACAGAAGAGAATGAAATTGGCAAGAGCTACAGCAGGGAAGCTGACAGGGTGCTGAGATGAAAGGAACTGGAAAGGTGCCGACAGGGACCAGTGGAAGGCCCTGCAGAAGAGACTGGAAATTCCTATTGGCTTGTGACTTCACCCAACAGTATGCAGTGGGCTTAGAGAGGAGCCAGCGAAGTGGCAGACAGGTGCTATGGCCTGAATTATGGCCACCCAGAACGCTCTGACTCCCACTGGGCTGGTACTTGGAGATGGGGGTCTTTGGGCGGTCACGAGGGCAGTGCCCTCGTAAGAACAGGAAAAGACATGAGTACTTTCTCCACCATGTGAGAACAGAGAGAAGGCAGCCATCTGCTAGTCAGGAAGATAGCCCTAACCCGGAACCAAACTGGCTGTCACCTTGACCTTGGACCTCCCAGCCTCCATAACTTTAAGAAACGTCACGTTTAAGCCACCCAGTCGATGGTGTCTGGTTATAGTAACCTGAGCAGACCAATACAAGAGTTAACCAGACTTGCAAAGGGAGCCCACCAGTGCAGAGGCCAAGAACATCACCGAAGCTGAAGACTGTATCACTGAAATGGTTAGCAACAGACAAGAGCAGCCAGAGTTGCTAACGGTGAAGAGGAAGGCCTATCACTCACACTGCACTGATGGGAAGCCGGGGCCCAGGGACTAGACTGTCATACTGCCCAGTACTATCAGGCAGCACCAGGACCAGAGCTCTGGTCTCCTGGCCGCTAGCCTCGAGCCTTTTCCACAACACTGCTGTGTCTCTCTGGGGTCTTGCATGCCTGCCGTGGTCTGTATGAAAACTGACTACACAACAGGAAACGAATTCAAACATATTTATTATTATTTTTACAGACTCTGAGTTCACTAACGATCCTGCCACGCATGCTGGTGGAATGCGACACCAGGTCTGGGATCACCTCTGGCCAGGCTGAGAACCACTGCCCGGCCGGCACGGGTTGCAGGTCGGCAGTTTTCGGAGGGGTCCCTGGTGCAGCACGTCAGAATGCTGGAGGGAGAGGGCTGCAAGGAGCACCCCTGGGTGCACTGCACGTGCCTGTGCTGGGCTGCGCTGGGCTGTGGATCAGCTGCTACTTCGGTGGCTTCCGACTCGAACTCCAACTTGGGAGTCCCAGAGAGTGTTTCTAGGAAGGTCGCGATATGATCAAAATGCCCGTGAGACTGTGGCAGGGATATGCTGCGTTTCTGAGGTTCAGATGCTTGGAGGGGAGCCTCGTTTTTCAGTCACACGGCTGCCATGCGGAAAGGCACCAGGAGGTCAGGCCTGGTATCAGGAGCGGAAGTGGCCCAACCCCGCGCTGCAGCCGTATGATCAGGTGCCCTGTGGTTGCCAGGTGGCTGTGGTGGTGGTGACTCAGGAGTCCTTCAGTGTTTTCTCATTGATACTCTGTCCGTGGAAGGCACGTCCTATTTTCTGGTGCCTTTAAATACATTCGCAGGTACTGTTCTGGACACTCTAGCTCATGCCCCTCCTTGTTCACCGGCGCTGGTTTAGACCTGTCAGATTCTTGAGCTGCCAAAGGGACGCAAACAGAGAATGGTCAGGCCTTGCCCACCCCGGGACTCCAATGGGAAGGATCGGGATTTGTAAGGTGGCCCACATGGCTATGGTACAGAGGTCTGGCACACCCGTGTCCTGGGAGCCAGCCAATAAAACTAAAGAGGTAGGATATCTGGAATCAGGAGACTCGGACTGAGTCACTGTCAGCCTCGTCATGAGCTTTCCAGTTTAAGGCTACAAAGCTACTTGGGTCAGTGATCCATCAAATTAAACAAGAAGCACAGGGCCAGGGTAGAGTCGCGGAGGGTGGGGATGATCTGGGCAGCACTCACCGTCACTGCTGCTCCCATGAGTCCTTGCACCAGAGCCTCTCCGGTGTACTTCACCTAGAAAGAGTCAGTCAGGTTCTAAGTCCCCATCACAAGCCCCAAGGGGAGACAGACAGGACAAACCAGCAGGCCTGCGAGTCCCAACGGGCAGAGTCGAGAGCCCTGGGCACTGGAGGAAGGGCCTATGGATGGCACGACCACGAAGGGGCCGAGTGCGGCTCTTCAGAAGGGCAGGCGGGTATGAGGAAGGACCGGCCAGGCTCCCTGGGAAGGCCCTCAGGGCTGTTGGCTGAGACCAAGAGGGAGGGGGCGAGAGAACAGACAGCGCCCCGCTGTGACCTGAGGAGGACGGCACGCTTAGTGAGGGGGCTTCCCAAATGGCTAGCCCCCCACTACCTGCTTGGCGGTGTGGCCCAGGTTCATCGCGTCATTAATCCGGTTTTCCAAGAAACGCCAAGTGTCCTCGAAGTCTGGGGAGGAGTCCTGCATCATCACCAGCTCTGTCGTGTTGTAGATGCCGGCCAGCACAGCTCGGCGGGTGTACCAGTTGAGCTGCAAAGAAACCCGCCCAGGCGGCCAGGTCACCACTCCTGCTGGGGCTGGGAGCGGTGATGCACTGAATAAGCAGCACGGGGCCATAGCGGGATAGGGGAGGGCGGGGGTGGTCTGGGCAGTGCGCAGCTACCCAAAGCCGCAGGCCCTCGTGGACACCCCCAATCTCCTCCCTCATGTACACGTGGGCCTCTGGATGACACTGCTCTCGGGTGGGGCTGTGCACGAGAATCACCCAGGAGATCACAAATGCTAGCTCCTGGCCCAACCTCCGAGTTTAGCGTCGGCGGGGCTCCACTAAGCGCCAGGAGTCTTGAGGTTTCCTAAGCACCCCAGGTGATTTTGCTACATCTGGTCCTTTCTGGAACGTCTTAGCACATCTAAGTCCTGGCAGGCTCTGCGGTCAGCCAGGTGCGACCAAACCTGGGGGTGTTCATGAGGAAAGCGAGGGCTGAGACAGGGTCATGGCCGGGTCAGACCACCTGGAAAAGCTGAGTGGTCAAGTCTGTGAGCAGCCCCGGCTCCCCCGGCAAACTGCCCTTCAGAGCCCTGGCTCAGCTGCTGGGTGTTTTATTCCTTTAATTTCTTTGCTTTCTAATTTCACTTTCCTGCCGTCTCTGTTGGTAGTATGTTCCCACCGGAGGGCAGCTTATTAAAGCACTTTGTTAGAACTACGGTGGGAGTTATCTCTCTGCCTCCCCAGCATGGATATTAATTTCTAGTTATGAAGGTATACTTTAAAAATTTTTTCCTAACAGAGGTCTAATAGCATCAACAAGTCACATGCTTTTCCGGTGCCTGTTTAAAGGCTTATTGATCTCCTGGCAAAGCAGGCGGAGATGGGCTGGGGGCGGGAGCTTCTTTTTAAAGCCATGGTGTATCCATGCCTTTTAAGAAAATCAGCCTCACGAAAGCCACACGCTGAGATGCGCAGAGACACGCTGCTGCAGAACCTGAGTTTCAGGAGCCCGCAGGCGGAAAGGACTATAAAATGGCAGCCCGGTCCCAAGGCCTCTGACGTCTGGGGTCACCGCTGCAGGTCGGAGGGAAGGACCAGGGGTCTGTGGCCAGAGCGCTGGGCCCTGAACCAAGGTGACCGAGGCCCCACCTGGCTGGCTGGAAGCCCCTCCTCACACCTCAGCCTCTCCCCACCGGAAAGGGCATGGCCCGCAGACCCTGGAAGGGATGTGTGATGGGAGGAATTCCACCAGCTTCTTAAAGAAGTGCTTAGCCCGAGCTTCCCCGGCATCCTGCGGCCCGAGCAAGCACTCACGTCGGTGGACTGGTCCCCAGCGTAATGCCACATGTCGTCCACCATGCTGGTGAGCAAGCTCAGGCTGGACGGGATGTTGTGCGGGAGCATGAGGATGCTGAGGGCCTGCGGAGAGAACGGCAGAGGGACAGGTCCAGCACGTAGGTGACAACAGTGCACGGGGGGCCGGTGCTTCACCTCCCCACCGAGACCTGCAGGGGGCCTGCACGGCTCTCGTTCTGAGATCCTCCACCACCACCCCTTCCTGGCAGCGAACCACCCTGACCACAGCTGATGGGAGCCAGGGGCCAACCCCAGCCTCCCGGCCCAACCCGACTCTCAATGC